ACTACTGTAAGGTAAAATAAAAATATTGCATAAGCAAATAGAAGAGTATAAACTATTTTTATTTTTTTGTAAATCAAAACTTCATTATCAAATATCAAGTGTCAGTTTATGTCCGAGCTTATGTTTTCCTGGTTATTGTTTGTGTGGTTTGTTTTAAACTCCTCTTATTTTGTTTGTAATTCCATATATTCCAATTTATATTGTAAAGAAAATAAAGCGTTTTGCGATTTTTAATACTGCTTAGATTCAAACCAAGTATCTATTCGTAACAACGTCATTTACTGTAACTATAAACGATACAAAACTTATTTTATATTTTATCTTTGATTTTGTCTCTAATCGTGGGTATGAAAGGTTACGCAGTCCCTTCCCTTCCCTAAAATCCTGACAAGGCGATGAATTTTTTTACCAAAATGATGCGATCCGAATCTTAATATTTTTATTATTCTATCAGGTTCATTTATTAATTCATTTATCAGAATTTGAGGGCTCCGTGGTGCAGTTGCTTAGCAAAGAGTAAAGAAAGTTCCAGTCTGCAGATTTGACCGTGTGCAATTGTTAATATGTAAATTGCTTCCACGACACAGAAGAAAATCCCGGTTTACGGTTCCAATTTCAAAAAAAAAAGACAAGTAAATGAATAAACTAAAAAGATGTGAACTTCAGTGGTTTAAGTTAACCTCTATTTCATATTCAGTGAATTTATTTTTCTGTAATTCGAGAATAATTATTATATACATTGTGCAGAAAAAGTAGTTACAATCTAATAGGTCCCTTCGTTGAGCACAAGTTTTGTCGGCGTGGGACGTTGCTTTATAATTCTTTTATTTCTGAGCGAAATAATGAGCAATTTATCAGCCACCCTGCTCCAGTCCATCTGTATTTTATTTAAGATTAACATGAAGTTATTATTTTTGATGCACAACTAAGTTTCATTATTATATATTTGTAATGGAATGCTTATATAATAAAGTAAAATAAGTATACAAATAACATTTACAATGGTAGATACATTGAGAAAGTATATCTTAGATAAAAGCTTTATGTTACAGCTAGTTTAGCTGTTTCGTACTCTAAATCTGCTGCTTGTGTTAATCATTTCAAGAAAAAACTTAAGCTTTACTTGAATGAGTTTTAAAGTGCAGTGCTTGCAAAATTCCACTCACTATTTGTAACAATGATTATAAAACAACTTTTTTTTTAAATATTTCATGAAATATTATTGCAAAACTTTTCTTTAGTGGACAGCTTACGACAGTATTCAGAAGTTGTCATCCATCCATTTATAGCATGAAACTCCACTGCTGAACATAGAGCCTCCCCCACGGATTGCCAACAGATGTTTCCATATTTGCCACGCTTATCAGATGGGTAGGCAAGCTGCTAGCACTATATTTTAAAAGATTTTATTGTTTATAACATTTTATCAGGAAGACGCTGATGCCCATCTTCTGTTTTATTGTACCTCTATCGACACCCACGGAATGGTATAGGATAGTGAATATTTTTAAGCCACTAGTTTGTTTAGAATTATTCTTCTTTGTCAAGCCGTAAAGTACCCATGAAAGGGCCATTGTGGCACGGTTTGCCCTACTGCCGTGTTCGTTCGAAGTACTTCACGTGTGGGGTAAGCGAGATGGTTATACATTATTGAATTTCTCATAGCCTTTTACGAACAAATTAAAATTGGATAATGAATTCTCTAACACCATCACCACGCCGGATCTTCGTTTAAAATAGCTATGAATATGGGTGACCTTAGTTAGAAATTTCCTCGGAGGTGATAACGCATCTGTAGCCTCCTTTGATATGAAATTGTTTGCAGGTGTCGTTGACATGACATAGAAACGTTTAATTTTTATTATGTTTTGAAAGTACAATAAGTTAGAGTATAATGGCCAAATATTAAGACGCTCGTGGTGTTACAATCACATTTTAAAATTGAGCAGTGTGTATTTAGGCATAAAACACCGAAACCTGAGAACATATTTTTGAAAACAACTTCAAGAATTTAACGTAATTGAAAAAAATTAGAATCCAATGTTATGTACTTTTACGGCGAAAGGACGTGAATGCTTCTATTACAAAGGTTTTCCAAATAATGTTTTTGTGAAGAGGGGCAAAAAAACAAAGAACTTTAGTAAGACACACGATCAACGATAACACGACACGTGTTTCGCCTCTACACGAGGCATCCTCAGGTGATGCTGACTCTACGGCGGCTGACCGCTAAGAACTGCTGACTTACTGTTGAGGGCCTGCTGAGCATAGTTCTCCCCCTTAGACTGTCTATATAGGGGAATATTCGCCATAGTCATCACACTTGGTAAGCGGTTTAGCAAACATAATTTATTTTATTTTGTAGCAGATACGCTGCTGGCCGTTTACAGCCTAGTTATATCACATAGAAGATATTCTTACACGTAAACGGATAATAAAATCATAAAATATTACGAAAAAATCATGATCAACATTTCCTTAAAGGATAGTTAAAGAAAAACAGTCATCTCACGGTAGATCACAAGCACAATTATTGGCAGGCTCCTAGTTAAAGCGACCTATGTCTCCCCAGTGGACATTGGTGCAATTCAAAAATACTTTGTTTACATGCCGTGCCAACTGTCACACGACATTTTTTTATTCGTTAGAACGTGGTTAAGCGTAGAGTTTCAATTTGCAATTTATTTGTTTCAAAGTTGAATATAAGTGGTAAAACCCCCGCTACAATAACATTATGATTGTAGCACGAATGGGTCGGCTCTACTGAGGTAGAACCACTCTCACGGAATACAAGTTTTTACCGGAAACGAGGCATTCCGTCTTAATCCTCAGGGATAACAACACATCTGCATTTTGATTCTTAATAGAGCATATAATATTACGTAGATGTATATGCGTCACAGCATCCACTTACCATCAGATGGACTGTGTGCTCGTTTGTCAACTTTATTCTATAAAAAATCTGATTGTGTTATCAAATATGAAGCGTCCTGGTACTGAGCTAACGGCTGTTATTAAGCAATTTCACACTAATTAAATGGTCACAAAAATTATCGCATGTTTTTAAAAACATTAAAAAGAAACAATATGGTTCATGTATTCTTAATTGACGAAAAGAGCTGTTTAATTTTTTTACTTTTTTTTGTTTGATTTTTTGTTAAATTAATAAATCCTTTGTTAGTTTTTAAAAGGTTTTATTTGAAAATTGTAATTTTATTTTCTCAATGTGCTTCATTTCGAATCCCCTAATAAATTAAACCTACTAATACAAGAGCAATCGATTTTAAACTTCGAACAAAAGCTGTAACCGTTTCGTAGCCAGATGGAATTTGGGTGAATGAACAGGATAGTATTCTATATATAATTCAAAGGCGGACAATTTGCTAAATTACATTTCAAACACTTCACCTATATCGGGCCTGATACACGATATCACTAAATCCCTCTCAAGAAATGCATTATTGGATAACCTCGAGTAACTACTAAATGAAATTTGACTTGGATTTTCACCGCTCAAATTTCAGTACGATTAATACAGGGTCATTACTCACGTTTTACAAAATTTAATTTTACGTTCAGAATGCTAAAAGTTTTATGATTTTAATAGTTTTCCTGTCAGCGAAAACACATAAGAGTTAAACGATCGAAATGTTCATATGTATTTACACGAGCATGACTCACGGAACAGTGAAATGATTAAGTTGCACCCGTGTGTTAGCCTGTAACCTCTGCACTCTTTAATTAAACCTCGGCCTTCTCAGTAGAAATACTTTTGCCAACAGCCACCTTTCATGTTCCGGAAGGGAATAGAGATAGAGCCGGTATAATTAAAGGCTGTAAGGCATCTTAGTCTACATAACTGCCGTAGAGTCTACATTACCTGAAGATGCCTCGTGTAGAGGCGAAACACTTGTCGTATTATCGTCGATGGTGTGTCTTGCCTGGAATAGTGGTGTTGGGAGTAATGGTGCTGGTACCAGTGGTGACGGAGTTAGTGCATGCAATTGAGGGAGGGCGGGAGGTGCTCTTCAATCCAGGTAAGACACATCATTGTATTTGTTTAGGGGAAGGTTGCGAAGAAATTTATATTTTTATTTTTTATGGATATAATATGATATGGATTTCCGCAAAGTAACGCCTGATTCTATCAATTATATCATTTAAAATGAAGGTTAAATGAGCATTAACTTAAAATGTAGTTTAAAAAAAAAAATATAATAAGAAAATATTTTGTATACTCCTATTTTGGAGTATACTTTATAAAGTTGATTTTTTTAGATTTGAAGTCGCTTAATAGAGAATTTGCTATCCGTCACGCATCTCCTTTTACGCTTAAGGCATTCGTAAGGCAGTCGGGGGAAACGAAGCAGCCCAGCTTATCTTTACGGATGGCGTGTCCAATCAAGATTGTATTTAAATTAAGATCGACATGAACGTGCCTAATTAAGCGACGATTTACCCCTTGTTCTGCGGTGAAGGAAATAACGTATTTCGAAGATCTTTAAAGTTCTGATTCAGCAGGGACTATTGTTAGGCATTTTTGATTTAATTATGATGTCAAATACTCAGATACGTTGATGAATAGCAACGTCATAAGAACGATTTGTTCTAGTAATAATTTCTTATGTTTACGCGAACACAAAATACACATTTAAATAAAATTAGATTTTACGGATTTCATCGCGTATATTAACTTATTTTATATTTTCGAGTTTCGAGTAACTTCCATGGGTGTTGTACCCATGGAAGTTGAATGATCTGAATGAACTCCCGCGAATGATCATGTGCGATTTAATGTACTCGAAAGGTCGATAATATAAATTAGTTAATAAAATCACTAGAATCTAGTTTTAGTTAAATGTGCGGTTTTGGCGTAAATATAAGAAGTCATTAAGTTCAATAGTTATTGAGTTTAATTTTCAATGCAAATAGCTATATCATTTGCGTGGTTTTTGTTTAAATATTTGACATATTTTAACGAGCTTTAAAAAATAACTTACCAAAAACAATCATTTGCCTAGTTCTTGAATCCTCTTCCATGAATGTTGAAACGACACACGTGTAATCACCAGATATGTCGGTGTTGGGCTTCACTATGCGGAGTGCTCTGTGCATTTTTAATGGATCGCTTGATGCTCTGTAGGCTAAGTCAACACGACCTCTCAATATCCCCATGTCCTGTGGCTTTTGCGATACGATCCATTGGTAGACAGGTCTAGCTTTGTTTCTGAAAAACCACTTCACTACCAGTCCCGATGTGTTGTTACCGTAAGTATAGTCACAGTCTAAAATCACAACGTCTTGCACACCGTACTGTATTATTTCTGGCACTACTATTTTCACTATTTTAACTGCATTCAATTCTGAAACAAAGAAATAAAATTGAATGTAATTTTCATACTAATATGATAAGAAATAAAAAATACGTTTGACTTGATGTAGTGGTGTCAGCCAAAATACTTTCGATCTGTGAGGATCCAAAATATTTCGGTTGCAAGTAGCATATTGTAAATGAATTACGTATAAAGTTATTGAAGTTACTTTATTTATTTTTTTTAAAATCTGATGTTTCAGAACATGTTTTTATGAATCCGAAGTAACAAACAAACTTACAGTCCCCGCCCGGCTAGATCACGGGGCCCCAAGGTTTGAAGCCTTAGGGCCGTAATGATTTTTTTTAGTACTTTCTGAGGGTTTTTTCTGCTTTTACCTATATTTCTGAACTATTCGCAAAGTGCGCGACCTAAACAAACATACGATTTTTTTTGCATTTCAATTACTATTGTGTATTATGACATTTAACGACATCTAGAAGCGAGTAGTGATGCTATGTACTTACAGGTGGCATTAGTTGTAATTTGTTCACATCCGTTGTAGTTGATTTATTTTCTACATCAGAGACGCGTGTTCACTTGATACACTCAAAAAGGAACTGAATAGTGAATACTGAACTGCTCGCTAACCGACTTACAGACTGCCGTCCGCCAGCGGCGGTCGTTATCATATTTCATGCGAATTACATACACATTGACACGTGTGACGCATGTGTGCGCTGTGTCATCAGCACCCACAGTATTACCCCCTTTTTAAAAAATAAATAAATTTAATACATCATTTATATTTAGCAAAAAGTTTATACTACTTTACCTGTAATAAACTAAGATGGTGTATTGTATAATATTGTTGCTTTTTATTGCATTAAGTTGATTTTTGAAATAAATAGGGTGTGAAAGAGAAATATATTTTTAATTTCATTGTAGGAAATGACATCGTATCCATTTTTTTTTAGTTTATACATTTTAGTAAATAAGGTAAGGCTGAGTGGTGTTGGAAACATTCCTTTTATATTGTTTTTTAGGTCACTTCTTTTAATCATTAATTAAAAACATTATTTCCTTACTGAAGCAAATATCGGAAAAAGTGTGATTAATTTATAAGAAATGTTTTTATTACGCAAACTACAAAGAGCCAGTTTGATTGAGAGTAAGTTAATGACGGCGTCAATAATGATCGAAAACAATTAGCGTAAACAGACAAAAAGGAAAAGCTGTTTCTGAATACAAACAATTAATATTCATGGACAGTACGAAAATTCATCAATGACGTATTAAATCTAGATGTTTTTTCTCAATATATTTCTCTTCTATATTATACACATCAATGCGTAAAGCAATACTTACGTAATTCTTAATTCAATGTTATTGAAAGCTTATTTAAATTCATCATTTGTTCTACTTAAAAGCAGGACCTAAAAATTTGGATAGTGCTAGTAATGTTTATATACTCACACTACAGTGTGATTTAAATAAGAATGTTGAAGCTTATATACTTAAAAATAAGGATAATATTTTAATGATAATGACTTTTTTACCTTCAAGTTTTATTAAGATAAATAAAAATTTAGTTTAAGTTTAAGAAAATAATAATATTGTAAACAGCCTCATATACAATTTACGTACACAGAGAATGCTACTACTTAATTCTTTTTTACTATCAGTACCTATCTAACAAAAAAAAAATAATAATATTGTAAACAGCCTCATATACAATTTACGTACACAGAGAATGCTACTACTTAATTCTTTTTTTACTATCAGTACCTATCTAACAAAAAAAAATAATAATATTGTAAACAGCCTCATATACAATTTACGTACACAGAGAATGCTACTACTTAATTCTTTTTTTACTATCAGTACCTATCTAACAAAAAAAAATAATAATATTGTAAACAGCCTCATATACAATTTACGTACACAGAGAATGCTACTACTTAATTCTTTTTTTACTATCAGTACCTATCTAACAAAAAAAAATAATAATATTGTAAACAGCCTCATATACAATTTACGTACACAGAGAATGCTACTACTTAATTCTTTTTTACTATCAGTACCTATCTAACAAAAAAAAAATAATAATATTGTAAACAGCCTCATATACAATTTACGTACACAGAGAATGCTACTACTTAATTCTTTTTTACTATCAGTACCTATCTAACAAAAAAAAAATAATAATATTGTAAACAGCCTCATATACAATTTACGTACACAGAGAATGCTACTACTTAATTCTTTTTACTATCAGTACCTATCTAACAAAAAAAATAATAATATTGTAAACAGCCTCATATACAATTTACGTACACAGAGAATGCTACTACTTAATTCTTTTTTACTATCAGTACCTATCTAACAAAAAAAAATAATAATATTGTAAACAGCCTCATATACAATTTACGTACACAGAGAATGCTACTACTTAATTCTTTTTTTACTATCAGTACCTATCTAACAAAAAAAAATAATAATATTGTAAACAGCCTCATATACAATTTACGTACACAGAGAATGCTACTACTTAATTCTTTTTTACTATCAGTACCTATCTAACAAAAAAAAAATAATAATATTGTAAACAGCCTCATATACAATTTACGTACACAGAGAATGCTACTACTTAATTCTTTTTTACTATCAGTACCTATCTAACAAAAAAAAATAATAATATTGTAAACAGCCTCATATACAATTTACGTACACAGAGAATGCTACTACTTAATTCTTTTTTACTATCAGTACCTATCTAACAAAAAAAAATAATAATATTGTAAACAGCCTCATATACAATTTACGTACACAGAGAATGCTACTACTTAATTCTTTTTACTATCAGTACCTATCTAACAAAAAAAAAATAATAATATTGTAAACAGACTAATATACAATTTACGTACACAGAGAATGCTACTACTTAATTCTTTTTTTACTATCAGTACCTATCTAACAAAAAAAAAATAATAATATTGTAAACAGCCTCATATACAATTTACGTACACAGAGAATGCTACTACTTAATTCTTTTTTTACTATCAGTACCTATCTAACAAAAAAAAAAAAAAGAAATAAATTCACCTTTCATAACTTGCTTCTAAAATCCTTCAGTAATTTTAAAGAATGATATATCTGAAACCTTTTTTTGGGCATTTGGCATCCATTCACGCAACAATTATAGTAGGAGCGACGTTTTTCCATTAAAAATTATCAAATAGGTAAAATAATATAAATAACACTAAACAAAGACTATTTCAACAAGTATTTACAAAAAAAAAAAACTAATTACGTAAACACCGTTAAAAAAAAGTTTATTGACCAAATTGGCGATATTTTGAAAATGGGCTACGTTAGAAGTACCCTTAACCGACGAGCGTGTATGCTTAGATATATGGATGTAAAGGAGGCAAAAGAGGTATGTAAGGATCGTGCCAAATGGAAGTCTCTGCCTACCCCTCTGGGTGACAGGCGTGAGTGTTTATGTTACGTTAAAAAACTCAAAACAAACATTCAATCGCCTACAACGCGCTAGCCCCGACTGCGTATGTTACCCTGGGTGCCTAGCGATTGTAGGTAATAATTACCTACGCAGGTAGCAAGAGTGACAGAGGGCTGGTAACAGTTAGTTCAGTATCTTCTTTCTTCAATATTAAAACACAACCTACATAAATACAGCCCACTAAGCTCTCATTCATTACACAATAGTTTCTTTAAGTTTATTAGTTGGACAGATATCACAATTTTTTTAGTTTCTTTTTTCTTCACCACAGTAAATTATAATAAATAATTAGTCAAATACAGTCCACTTAGCTCTCCATCAACTACAATACATATCAATGATAATCGTTAATAGCAGTGTTCCATTTCAGGCTAACTTCACGTCCCGACCCTTGAAGGTGTCAGGAGGGGTCAGGGGTGCGTAGCAGCACGGTTCGGGGAGTTCGTCGTTGTGGGGGTGTACTTCTCCCCGAACCGATCTCTCGCCGAGCTCCACAACTCTCTTGCAGAGCTGAGAGCAGTCGTCGTCGGAAGTTATCCCCTCCCCGTACTTGTCCTCGGGGACTTCAATGCCAAGAACTTGGCTTGGGGTTCTCGTCGTACAGATGTGCGGGGTAGGATGGTAGAAGACTGGGCTCTGGAGACAGGCCTGGTCGTCCTAAATCGGGGTTCTGTCCCTACGTGTGTGCGGATGCGGGGCAAGTCGGTGGTGGACATCTCGTTCGCTAGCCCCGCTCTGTCGCCGCGTGCCATTGACTGGCGTGTCATGGAGGGGGGTGGAGACCTACTCCGACCACTGGTACATCCGGTTTGATGTCTCCACCCAGCCCTCGAGCGCGCCAGTCCAACAGGCCCCGAGTGGTCCGCGTTGGGCGCTGAAGCAGCTGGACCGGGAGCTCCTCCTGGAAGCCTCGATCGTGCAGGCCTGGGTGTCATCACCGGACAGGCCTGCCGACGTCAATGATGAGGCAGGGTGGTTCCAGGAGGCCATGTCCGAGATATGTGACGTGGCAATGCCCCGCGTCCGGCCAGGAAGCGCCCGGCGTCAGGTATATTGGTGGTCGCGTGAGCTGACGTCTCTGCGCGAGGCGTGTGTCGCCGCGCGGCACCTGTACGCCAGGCATCGCAGGCTTCGCATTCGTCCACCGAATGCGGCAGCCATTGAGGCAGAGCTGTACAAGGGATACAGAGCTGCGAAGACCGCCCTCCGGGAGGCTGTCCTGCGGGCCCGGGATCGGGCCCGTGAGGAGATGCTGGAGACTCTCAACAGAGATCCGTGGGGGCGCCCCTACAAGATGGTGCGGGATAAACTCCGCACCTGGGCCCCCCCGCTGACGCAAA